ATCGCCATGGATCGCCACCGACAATCGCCATCAGCATCACGACCACGCAGATCAACTCGCACAATTCGAGCGGGATCAAGCTGATTTCGATCAGTATTGCAGTCACCTATATATCTCGTTTTCTACACGGGCGGAGTAGTCGCTACGCCTGTTGTCTGCTTTCCTAGGAGGGGGGTCTCTGCGCGTGTCGTTTTCTCTTTCGTTTTCCTAGAAAAGCAATCGCGTTTCATGTCTGTGAACATTTCGTTTCGTTTTTTTCGGACTACTCATGCAGCTTTTTTTCTACGGGGGGGGCGGAGTAGTCTCTGCGCAAGTCTCTGCGCATGTCGGATTCTCTTTCCTAGGTACACCTTTTTCAGGCCAATCGTTTCGTTTTTCAAGGACTACTAACCCAGGTTTTCTACCGGATCGGAGTAGTCTCTGCGCAAGGTCTCTGCGCTACCGGATTCTCTTTTCTAGGAAAAACCTTTTTCAGGTCAGTCGCGTTTTTCATGTACATGACTCCCCGCCTTTCTCAACCTCAAATTTTCAACTTCTAGGGAGTAAGGCTCTTTCTCTCTTGTTTCTAAGATTGTATAATAATGTTCCACGGGCAGAAGCAGCATCGTGGGAACTTCGAGCGGTCCGTTACGTTCTTTCAGGAGGTGGCGTGGAGTGTGTCCTTCAGAGTTCGGTGGCTGCCTTAATGCTTGCGATTCAATAATACACAGTTTCGGACCGGGCCTCAACATTTTCCGAAATAAGGAAACAGATTTCTACATAAGAAAGTTTCCGGGAAACTTCCTGCAGGCGAATACTTTCCGATTTAAGGTCTGCACACTGGGGCGAAAGTGATTGGCCGAGGGACAAAAGGCCTGACAGTCCCCCTCCTTCCTTGGCTGCCTGCTGCCCTACTGCGGGAACAGCTGTCTCTTGACAGAGCCCTCTGCAGCGCTCCCACTGTTGAGTGTGTGGGCGAGGCTACCATGTCCCGCCTACGTATTCGCGAACGAATCGAGCGCAAAAAACGTGCTTCGGTCATGCTTCGATGCCGTAATCTATTCGAAGTCTACACCGATCTATGGTTCGTGTACAACAGCGCTTTCACCTACGCGATGGCCCGCCTGGAACTCGACGACACGCCCACGAGTATCGCACGTAGGGACGCGACAGCATTCTTCAGCCCACAGGACTGCGTCAACTTTCTACGTTTCACGCAATCGCAAGTGAGTGCATGTCGCAGCTAAA